TCCGAACGATGAGCTTTGTAAAAATCTACGCGTTTCAGAAAGGCGGGGCATAGAGGAGAAACAATAATGTACATTTTGTGGAAAAGAATGTGTTTTTTGAACCTTAAACCGCATAAACATTACATTACACCAAATACACAAAAATAATGTTCTTTTTAGCAACATCATATGACCCCTTTAATATAAATAAGCACCAGTTAGGTTGCGATACCAAACAGGACCACAGGGAGGCGCCAAAAGACCACTAAACCTGCTGCCTTAACCTGACTGTACATGCTACTATACGGCTCCATTCAGAATAACTAAACCACTGTCCAGCGCATAATCTAAAACACCTTCAGCCGGCATTCATTATAAAACACTCATGCTTTTAAGCCAAATACGCGCTAAAACAATAATTTACTGCCATCTGGACACAAGTCACTATTCTCTCCGCCATCTCTGATGAAATCGTCCGTGTTTTCTTTGCATTAGCGCTGTTTTGAACTTATTACTTATTACTAATGCATTCCCAGATTCCCTTACTGGAATCTTGAAACTTCCAGAAGTTTACTGGGTAGTGTGCTTTATAGTGTCATTTCTAATCACCCAGACACTGACGCTTTGACTCAGTACCGGTGTTGGGCAACATGTCAGAAGTGCCGGTAAGCACGAAAAAGTGCTGCTACGCTAAAGACTAAAATATTGAAGTGCCGGTACTGCGTACCGGTGCATACTACCAGGCCAGCCCACTTCAAGCACTGACACTGATATATAACAGTTGTTGAATGGAAAGAGATGAACAACAGTGGACTTTCTTTTCTCTCTGAAACATAAAAAGATATTTTGAGAAATGTCTCTGTGTTTTTTTTTCATCATTAAACTGAAAGTCAATAGGCTCCACTGTAGTTTGGTTCCCAATTTTCTTCAAAATATCTTGTGTGTTCGACAGAAGACAGAAAGTCACACAGGTTTGTAAAAATATAAAGGTGAGTAAATTATGACAGAATTTTAGTTTTTTGGGTGGAGTACCCCTTTAAACAACCCACTTGAACTGCAGTTCAGCCAGAAGTAATAGTAGAGTCATCACAGCCTAAAACCCCTGAATCTGCTGATATCAGGAGAGTCACAGAGAACACAAAGAAAAGCCACAAGCGAGTTCCCACAATGTGATTAAGCTCAGAGCTCATTGTGCAATTCTAATTACAACTCATCCATAGTCAACTTTGCTAGACAATTGCAATCCTCTTGCTTACAGGGATGTAGCCATGCTGTCTAATCTCACCAGCACTATTAAAACAGCAAGATCGTATAAAAATAATTGGTAATTCAGGATGACTCGCTAGTTCGCTGTGATCACTCAGGCCACAGGAGTTGGTATTTGTCCAGCTGTAATCTTAGAACTTGCCGTCCTTGGACAGTTCTTTCAGAGCGGATTTATTTATGAACTGCATTCTATGTTTAATGGAGCATGTAATATTCGACTCATTGAAATGCTCCCCCACCCCCCTTCTTGGATATGCCATGTCTATCTGAGGCTTTAAAATGAAAACCTTAAAGGCACAATGTGTAAGACTTTCGTAATAAAATATCCAAAAACCACTTGCACATTGTTATATATTTACGTTATCCCAAAAGTTCCCAAGGATTTGTAAATCCAGAGAAATTCCAATTTTAAATAATGGCTCGTCCCGGTTCATTGTCGCCTATCAATTACGTAATATTCGCGCTATCGGTTTCCGCTTGTAGAAATTATGGCAACACCCATGGACAAAAATGCTGCTGCAGTTAAACTAAATCCATTATGGCAGTCGCGAATAAAATGAAAATGAAATGAAAAGTGTTGACTGCAGCATTAAATTTAGATCTGCTCAATGTTGCACCATGAATCTTTTTCCGTGTTTTTACAGTGTTGCGCATTATAACCAATCACGCACGAGTCTGTTGAGTTTATGAACGCAGCGGCCAATCAGAGGCGTTTAGATGAGTCATCGCTGAAACACTGGAGTTTTCTTCAGTGCGTGCGCTCTCTGAGTGTATTCTCTCATCATAAACAACAAAGTGCAGATGTACGTATGATGTAAGTAGGAGATTCATTCATCAAACAGTGTATAGACAGCTTTACTGATTATAAGGGGAGTTTTTTTGAAGTCAGGCATACTGATCTAGCGACGAAAACTTACATACTGTGCCTTTAAGAATATGACAACATCACCAGACAAATTTACTGATCATAACTTCTGATTGTGTAATCTACTGCAATAGTTTTAATCTGTTTTGACAGAGAATCTGGATGTAGAAGAATCACAGTCCAAAGGAATACAATCCCACACAGAAATCACAGATGTCATTCCATATTTGACCACTCCTTAACAAAGCACATTATGATTTACTCAAAGAAACCACCTCTCTGTCACAAGGCACTTGCTACTTTATGAGAATATCTATTTGTTAATGCATTCAGCACTTTTTATTCAAAGCAACCCGTAAATAATACACACAGAAGCGATTAACACAACTAAATGATTCAAAACTATCTAAGACCTTTCAATAGTTTTGACTATTACTAGCTGACTGCCTGCTTCTGTTATCTAGGGTGCTTCTGTCTCTGAAATCTAATCTCTGTCTCTGAAAATACTCAAAAAATTGGTATGTTACCAACAAAGTATCCAAAAACATACAGACAGACAAAACATCAGTATTCTAATGGTCCAAATCAGCCATTATCTTCTGCATTCCAACACGCTTTCTCTGGAATACTGCCATAATCACACCATTACTTTCCACTGTTTTGCTGTGATCACCGGGTGTGTGTGGGTTTGCTTCTCATGTCACACATGTAGTTTAAATATGGTAATAAAATGTGATGCTCACTGGATGTTTTGGGACACTGGGGTAGGATTACCACTGGGAAACATGTTTTGACAGCAGAGCCAAGACTAGTACAAACACAACACATTCTGTATCCACTGCAATTTAGTCGACATCCATGAGAACAGGTTTCAATAATATTCAACGAGTTGTCAATCTTTGTTTTACACTCTGCAAAGCATTACAACCTATTAGGCTACAGCTGAATGCGTAAGTTTAATTGCTGCGTCAAATGTTTACATGACAATCTGCAGTGACAAGTTCACTTTTGGTCTACTTTGCATTAATAGCATCTGAAGACAATCGAGTTGAAGCGTGAAAGCGATTCGGGAAAGAAAACAAAATTACAGAAAAAATAAATAGGCACACATTGTATCCGCAAAATAGCATGCATTTGCATTTTTAAACACTGATATTAATAAAGTCTACTGTATCATACCGAGCAGCAGTAGTTTGACTTCTCTGGATGCTTTTTCTCCGTCCTCTCGCAGGTTCCGATCAATCATCTTACTCCTCTCCATCGCTGCTTTATCTTCAACACTTAACGTGCAACCCATTTTGCGAAATGTTTATAAAACGATTAATAAGAATCTTTAATACCGAACGTTGTAGTAATTTTCCTGCAGCCTGAAGAATAACGAAGCCAGAGTAAAGGCGTTGGCAGGTTCGCACGAGGTGATCGGCCAGCGTATAAAAGCAGATGCTTCAAAACATATTAAAACGGCGGTTCTGATAACAACTTATACAGAACCGCGAACCACTGAAACTACATTGGCTGGGACAGTGCAAATTATCCAAAACCAGAAACCCAGAAGAACAATATTTCCGTGACTAAAAAGTTTCCACTGGTGAGGTTCTGCGGTCTGCTGTGAACGCCAGTTTTAAGTTTTTTCACGGAAAAACGGTAACCAAGACTGTATCCAAAACATTTAGCAAAATGTCTCGAAGTGGATCACAGTTAGAGCTGTTAACGAATCGGTGTTTCAGAACGAATCTTTTAAATGAACGAATCGTTCTCGTTCACTTCCATGCACTGACTCACATGTTCGTTCGCTGAAGTCTCTCCCCTTTGAAGCGCATGACTGCTTCCCTGCCTTCAAAGGCTGACGCCCGAACCAACAGAATTCGACCCCGGCTTGTGAGGATGCAATCTTATTGGTTGAACCCATTGAACGAACACGCCCATTTCACTAAACGAGTCAGTTTTGAGTCTGACACGACAATCAGAGCGGCACTAATCGAGACTGATCTTGTTTGTGAACAAGTCAAACTTAAAGGGTTAGTTCACCCAAAAAAGACAATTCTGTCATTAATTACTCACCCTCATGTCGTTCCAAACCCATAAGACCTTCGTTCATCTTCGGAACACAAATTAAGATATTGTTGATAAAATCTAAGAGCTTTCTGACCCTGCATAGACAGCAACGGAACTACCACGTTCAAGGCCCAGAAAGGTAGTAAGGACATCATTAAAATAGTCCATGTGACAGCAGTGGTTCAACCTTAATTTTATGAAGCTACTTTTTGTGCACAAAGAAAACAAAATGACAAATGTTAATGAAATATGTTCATAAAAGCTTGTTTCGTTCTTAAAGGATCTTTTAAGGAATCGGTTGAGTAATGATTCGCTCAAAACCCACAAAAAGGCACTCTAAAGACATACAAACTTGTGCATTGTTGCTTTGTAAAGTGATGCAGCAGGTTATGATAAGGGTCTTTTGCTCATGAACGCACTCTGTTAGCCAGAGAAATATGAGGTTCCATTTGTGCCAAAAATGAGTCGACTGCTTTATGCTTTTGTACTATACATTTGTCTTTGTCTACAGTCATTGCCTACTTGTTCAGGTAAATCAGTATATATTGACGTGTATGTTGTCTGTTAACGTCGTCTTAATCTGTCATCCTGCCATCTTTTTCTCTGTTGTTTTTGCTGTCGTCCTTATTGTCATTTTGTTCTGTCATCTTATTCTGTCGTCCTTACTGTCATCTTATTCTGTTGTCTTTGGTCTTGTTCTGTCGTCCTTACTGTTGTCCTAATGTTGTTCTTACTGTCGTCTTGTTCTGTCGTCTTGTTCTGTCGTCCTTACTGTTGTCCTTACTGTCGTCTTGTTCTGTCGTCTTTACTGTCGTCTTGTTCTGTTGTCCTTACTGTTGTTTTTGGTCTTGTTCTGTTGTCTTTACTGTCATCTTGTTCTGTCGTCCTTAATATCGTCCTTACTGTCGTCTTGTTCTGTCGTCTTGTTCTGTCATCATAACACTCATCAGCGCGGTAAAGTTAGTTTTAGGTTTGATATCTGCTGCATATTTGACTAGGCTGCTTTAGGGACCGTCTGCAAATTTACCTTACATTACAAAACGAAGTTCAATAATTAATTCAAATGAATGTTTACAGGACTATAGTAAATGCATAGAGGGCAAACTGAATAAATAAATTTTGCTAATATCTCACCTTAGACAATACTTCCAATATCTCCCTTACTGTCCGTACAGTACACAAATATTTTCATGAAAAAAATTTGCTAAAAGGATGGGGTTTTTTTTCATGTTACGAAGGTTGTAGTATTTTTTTAGCAACAAGACTTACCTACTACAGGTGAGATGCCAATATCTCCTTTACTGTATGTACAGTGCACAAATATGTTTAGAAAAAATACAGTAATTCACCAAAAGTTTTTTTTTTCATGTTCCAAAGGTTATAGTACATTCCTAGACTGGCTTACTACAGGTGAGATTTTGCCAATATCTCCTTTACTGTATATACAGCACACAAATATTTTATGAAAAATTACAGTAATGTAACAGTAGGTTTTTTCATGTTCCAAGCATTGTAGTATGTTCCTAGTTACAAGACTGACTTAATACAGGTGAGAGTTTGCCAATAACTCTACTGCATGTACAGTACACAAATATTTAGAAAAAAACCTACAGTTATTCACCGAAAGGGTTTAATCATGTTCCAAATGTTGTACTACAGTCCTAGTTACAATAGACTTACTACAGGTGAGATTTTGCCGTATACTACAACCTTTGGAATATGAAAAAAAAAACTATTGGTGAATTACTATAATTTTTTTTTCTAAAAATATTTGTGTACTGTACATAGTAGGCCTACAGTAAAATGAGATATTGGCAAAATCTCATCTGTAGTAAGTCAGTCTGGTCAGTAGGAATGTACTACAACCGTTGTAACATTAAAAAAAAAACATTTTTGTGAATTACAGTATTTTTTTTCTAAACGTATTTGTGCACTGTACATACAGTAAAGGAGGTATCAGCAAAATTTCACCTGTCATAAGTCAGTCTTGTAACTGCAAATGTATTACAGCCTTTGCAACATAAAAAAACTTTTGGGAGTGTACAAAATGTTTTAATTGAAATAATTGTGTACTGTACATATATGATGGGAGGTATTGGCAAAATTTCACAGTCTTGTATCTAGTAACATACTACAACCTTTGTAACATAAAAAAAACTATTGGTAAATTACTGTAATTTTTTTTATAAAATATTTGTATACTGTACATACAGTAAGGGAGATATTGGCAAACTGTTGTCTGTAGTAAGTTAGTCTTGTAACTAGGTACATACTAAAAAAATATTTGGAACATATAAAAGCCTTTTTGATGAATTACAGTAGTTTTTCTAAACATATTTGTGCACTGTACATACAGTAAAGGAGATATTGGCAAAATTTAACCTGTAGTAAGTCAGTCTTGTTGCTAAAACATACTACAACCTTTGTAACATACTTTTTTTTTTTTTTTCATTTTTTCATGAAAATGTTTGTGCACTGTACGGACAATAAAGGAGAAATTGGAAGTATTGTCTAAGGTGAGATATTGTCAAAATATATTTAGTCAGTTTGCCCACTAGGCATTTACTATAGTCCTGTAAACATTAAATTGAATGAATTATTGTACTTCGTTTTGTACTGGGAGGTAAATTTGCAGACGGTTCCTAAAGCACAATAGCAAAA